TTTGTTTATAAGTTTGACATATTTGTCATTTTAGTGTATTTGAGATTAGCGTAGTAGTGTAAGATGGAAATAGTGATCACTAAGAGATGTTGATGATGACTGATGTTTTTTAGTGATGACTTCTTCAGTGTTTGAGGTAAAGGTACGTAAAACCATAGTGAACAATGGATTTAAATAACCAGAATAATTGTTGAATGTAAAAAATTTGAAATTTGAGATTTTTCGAAAATCTATTCTTAGGTGCAACAGATGGCTGAAAAATTGGCGCAGACAATTGAATTCACTTCACGTCTTGTTAAATATGCTGCACCAACAGAAGTAATGGTTTTCAAGCAACTTTTGCATACCCGTCTACAAGTATACTTTTCGTTCAATCCGGATAGTAATAATATTCTACAAACAACATGTGAACTTGATTTTCCACCGCTGAACTCGAATGTTGCTCGTCAACAAATTATTAGTATTATGGGTGCGTTTATTTTCTCTCCAATTAATATTATCTTAATTTTATTGTGGGTTTAATTGATTTTGACTGGAATCTAAGTTATTGTAATTATAATCTCTCATTCCGTCTGTACTTCTTTTGGTAACTATTTAATCATTTTTGATTTGAACATATTTGGTACAGTAAATGTAAAAGTAACAACGAATGAAAATAAGTGGTGTAAAAGAATATATGAATTCAGCATATTTGGTGAATTCTTTTACATCAAAAAAATTACATTTGGTTGCCTGCTTATTATTGCTTGATTTTATCATAAGCTAGTTTAAGTTTTAAAAAATTCATACTTATTTTAAATGTGAGGTCTTCTTTTCCCAGTAATAAGAGGAAGAGGTAAAATGACTGTTTTGATAGAAAGCAGCAGAATTAAACTATTATCCTTGTTTTTCATCTTTCGCTGTCAAATAGTGTTTATTGTTTTCCGCTTTTTCTTCTCTGCGTTTTTCATTTTTTTTCCTGTTTTTTCTTACCGGTTTTTATTCACAATTACGAAACGAATAATTATTAGTGAGGTGCTCAAATGAATTAGTTGGAAACGCTGAAATCTGAAAATATTTAGTATTTAGTGAATGACAAAAACCTAATATCGCATAATAATATAATGGGAAATTTAACGGCCAACTGGGATAAAGTGCAGCATGTGTCCCAGTAAACCGTAGAAGGAGAATTATATACATATCATCTTCCTCCACAAATAGCATTTTTACTTGTGGAATATACTTTTGCGATACTGTTTGAATGCTAACTTCTGGAATTGCGGACAACTTCAGGTCTCGTTCGAGGTGCATCGGAATGGCCTCAAGGAACAATGTCATCAGCAAATGCAGGAATGCCTCCGGCACCAATTGGCCGACCAGCCAGTCGACAGTTGACTCGATCAGTAGCAGCAACCAACGGTGCATTACCTGTCAATAATTTCTCTGATTCAAATTTGGTACGACCGAAAAATGAATATGGTGGCTCCAGTCAGAGTCTCGGAACATTTGTTACAGTTGATAATGGCTTTAGTAATCAGTATGAGAAGTGGAGTATGGGACTTGAACCAGCTAGTGGTTTGCAACTTGCTGAGTCACCTGATTTAGAGCTTGAAAAGGTTTGTTTACAGACTGATTTCATTTTGAAAATTCCGTAGAAATAGAAATGAACTGATGAATGAAGTGTTGGCTTATATTTGATATACTATCATAATACAGTCCTTTTTTTTTGATATCGATAAATTTTATTTGCGGTAAGAACCAGTACGGCATGGTTATGCGATGGCTGTACCGTTGAACAGAAATGTTATTAGCCAAAAACAGGATCCAGATTTTCACGTTTTGCAGAATTAGGGTTTTCTTAATTTCATTCGTTGATTTCAGGGCTGAAAATTGTTAATTCATTTGCAGAACATGGGCATTAGCAATCTTTATCCACCACGAGCGCAGATCAAGAGACAAAAGATGATTTATCACTGCAAATTTGGTGAATTCGGAGTTATGGAAGGACAGGTTATTATAGTTTTATTTACAGATATCTACAGATTACAGTTTTACAGAGATTTTAGTCTCAGGTCAAGTCCAGGTTTGTGTTCAATTTATTTTATCACATGCATTACACTTTTATGAGCAGATGGTTTTATTATTTCATGGATTCATGTCATTTCCAGCCGCCGTTTGTTAAGAAATAAATTTGAAGCACTAAATACCAGTTCTGTGTTTCCGGCGTATAAAAAACCCTTCTCTCTAGTGATACGGAACTTAGGATCCCAGCAGAGTTATAATTCATTCATCCGTAATTGAAATCGTGGTTTGATTGTACCCTTTTAAAATAAATTAAGGTAGAAATGATAGAAAATGAAGAAATTTCTTTCAGTTTACGGAACCATCCGGAGTAGCGGTAAATGCACAAAATGACATTATCGTTGCGGACACTAACAATCATCGTATCCAGGTATTCGATAAGGAAGGTCGTTTCAAATTTCAGTTTGGGGAATGTGGTAAGCGTGATGGCCAGCTGCTTTATCCCAACCGGTTCGTATATTATTTTGCGAACTTTTTTGAAGCTAATATTTAATATAAGTAGAGAATGGTGTATGCAAGAAAGATATCCAAGTAGAAAAGAGTTTGGAGTTTTTACTCATGTAACTTTGACTGGGAGTTGCTTTCTGTGTCAGATTTGTGCGGCGTATTGTCCAGTTGAAGGGTGAGTCTGTTCTGAAAACATTTATTTGGTAAGATAGTTCTTCTTAGATTCGAATTTAAACATCATAAATGAGCAATGTATCATTTTTGTTTGAATATATACATGTAGGAGACATGCTAATTTAACAAAATTTAATGACCTGGACCATATAGTTAAATTCTCGAAATTCTAGTATTTTAATTTACGAGGAAAATGCGATGAGTGATCATTAAGCCTATTATATCATGCGTTTATTATTTGTAGTGTGGCGGTAAATCGTCTTACCGGCGATTTTATCGTAACGGAACGTTCGCCAACACATCAGATACAAATTTATAATCAATACGGGCAATTCTTGCGCAAATTTGGAGCAAACATTTTGCAACATCCTCGTGGTGTTTGCGTTGATAGTAAAGGACGCATTATTGTAATCGAATGTAAAGTAAGTTGGATTTTATTTAAACTCACATCATTTTTAAATTTACTATTTCAGTATTTGAATAGGTTATAAAGTCACCAGGCAAGCAAAACTTGTGAGAATGCACATTTCATACACAGTTTCTAAGTTATTTGGTTTATTGTATGATGCATAATGATTTAATTCAAAATGAAATTTCATTTTATATAGTAATCAGTTCTGATATGTTTGCGTAGGGCGCTTCAGGAAACTAAAATTCAGGTAAAGGAATTTGATCTTTTGAGTTTTTTTCAAGATTCGTGTGTCTTCTGAAGTTTTCTAAAAGCCACAGTCCCAGCAACAGGTTCATATCATTCCTCTTCTAACACTTCCAACAGTTGTCTTTAGCTGTTGATTACTAATGTATATTTGGAGAATTATCTGATCGATCTTTATTTGCTAAAATAATTGCAACAAACATAGTTGTAGCTTTTTCATATAAATGACTCAGTTGTTTTCGTATGTAAATCAAAAAAAAAAAAAAAAAGTTAAAAGAAACCAATAGAAGGGGATATGGTACGTACATTCCATGTGTTGGGAATATTAAGAAAAAAAGTGGTAGAATTGATAAGTAAAATAGCAGTGTTGAATGACGGATGAACTGGAATTGGTGACTTTATAGGACTGATTAATTAAATTGAGAATATTCTATAATTTTAGAACAGAGACTCGAGACTGAAGTTGAATTGGTGATAACTGTAACTGTAGTTAATAAAGGATAAGCCTCCTCTATTAGATGTTTAGTCAGTAATGGATAATGCTCGTTTTGTCCACAAACGCAAGTCAGATCGAATCCTTTCAGTCCAGTAGAGAAATTTTCCCTAAATTTTAAATGTTTTATTTGAATCGAAATTTACTATGACATTTCAGGTTATGCGTGTAATAATATTCGATATGTTTGGTAATATTCTGCAAAAGTTCAGTTGTTCGCGTTATTTGGAATTTCCAAACGGAGTTTGTACAAACCACAAGCAAGAAATCTTAATTTCGGACAATCGTGCGCACTGTATAAAGGTTTGTTTAAACTGAAATGTTATTTACTCCATGCTTCTGTATTCAATGTTTTCAGTGTACTGGAGGACCATGCAGTATTGTGGTAATAGTTCTGCTTTGAATAAGTGCAGTTGTCAGAAAAGACATTTTATAATTTGCAAAGTCTTAAATACATTGCTAATGGATCTTCAGTGTTGTTGTTTTAATCTTTTTCGCAATTCTGCTAATTTCATTTAGCGTTAACATAAAAAGTTTAGGAAGAATTTTACACGGAAGGAAAGTTTATGGAGGATATTTAGTAATAGTGAAGTCATAAGAAGGATGAAAATAAGAGAAAGAAGGTTCGGCATAATGGTTCGTGAGGTCGAGAAAATATATGAAATTCACATCAAATTCTTGTTTCTCTTGACCCTAGATTATGAGTGTCAGTATGACTGAGTCATATTCTTCCAAGCAGTCACAATCTAATGTGAATAACTCTTTTTAATATAACATTTTAATGGCATATTTTATTTATTTTAGTTGATGTTTTTTTTACAGGTATTCAACTACGATGGACAATTTGTTCGGCAGATTGGCGGTGAAGGTATTACAAATTATCCTATTGGTGTGGGTATAAATTATGCTGGTGATGTTGTTGTAGCAGATAACCATAATAATTTCAATCTCACCGTCTTCAGTCAAGTGAGTTCACACCAGTTATGTTTCAAAAATAAACCCATTAACTTCGTCAGATTAATTCAAAGTTTTAGTGATGAGTCTAGATCTCAGAAAATAGCGTGGTTATGTAGCCTACTAAAGTAATTTAACTTTTTTTTTCTCACATAAATTTATCTTCATAATTAAAAAGGTTTTTCACTAAGCCTTGAATAAGACGTTGATCTTTCCTCAATATATGCTAACAGGTGAGATATCGAGAACAATGTATTTTTCAACCAAATTTTGTTGTCCTAAATGATGAACTATTTCAGGATGGAACCATGATCTCAGCACTTGAGAGCAAAGTGAAGCACGCACAGTGCTTTGATGTAGCACTTGTTGAAGACGGTTCCGTAGTATTGGCAAGCAAGGATTATCGCCTCTACTTGTATCGTTATCAGTCATCTGGCACAACGACGGCAGGGGCGGCGACAACAGGCAGTCCGAAATAACTATGTAAGCAGGCGGGACAACGAGTAACGCAATAGCCCGTTATCGAATATGTTAAAAAGGAAAGTCCGTGTTTAAAGCTCAAAGAAGAATTTTTGTCCTCTTATTTTCGAAAAGTTGCCAAATTTTGCTATCAAAAACGAAGAACAGAAGACAGGAAATCAAAATGAAGAAAGGAAAGTTTTTCAGACTGAAAAATTTGAACTTACTGAATATAGAGAATTCAGTTTTAAGCTCGTTAGCCCTGTTCCAAGCCTGAATAATATTTGTTGCATTTTTTCTTCATTCTTGACGATATGTTTTTTCACTCGAAAAAACTGTTGTTGATGCTTTGTGTGCACGAAATATTTTCTGGCACCAGCTATTTCTTCGTGGTAATGATTTGTTATCACCATTATCCTCATTGCTAGCTTGTTTTATTCAATTGTAATTAGAGTGTTTTGGTCGTTGATCGTCATTGTTCCATTACTAGTCACACCATCCCATCACCACTCTCTTTCTCTCTCCCGTTGCCGCCAAACTCCGTCGTTCCTCTCTAAGTTTTGTTCACAACAGCAATTAAGTATCTTCGAAGTGGAAGATTCCCATAGTTAAATTAATCGCTTTTCGGGCTCTTTTTATAACAGTAAATTTTGATTTTTTAAGTTTCTGAAATATTTTTACTCAATATGAAAAGTCCTAAAAGTTTTGTGATCGACATTTTGTTTTTCGCTTTTTTTGCTTTTTTAAATCTTTTTTTTTTTAAATCCTTGGTGGCGCTGACGGCCATGAAGTTTTTCTTAGAGGAAAATGGAGTGTTTGTGGGAAGAATCTGTTTTAGAATTCTGCAAGGATTTAAAACTTTTTATGGTACCGACATCATTATCCAAAAAAGTTTCATAAGTGTCCCTTTTTTGTTGTTCCTTTAAATGTTAATACCCATTTCAAATATGTTAGTAGTTAATTTTTAAAATTTCAGTGTTGTCGCATTCAGTTAGCAGGGCAAAACAAAAATCACTCTCATTCTTTACCTTCTTCACCATTTATATATCCTTCCCTTTTGTTCCGCATCAAAAATTCGCATTTCTCAAATTCGAACTTGAATTTTTTTGGTTATGATTGATTTTTTTAAATTTGTTGTTTGAGATATATGTGATAGCACGCTGCTCGTTTTGAGATCTGTTTTGTTCTAGCGGTTTTTTTATTCTTCCTCCTTTAGAAATCACAGCAATTCAGGTCTGGTCCTCTCCTACTCCTGTATGTTATTTTCATGTCCAAGATTTTTTTCGAAAAAACTGCATGTCTTGTTGCTACTGCTTTAGAGGCGTCACCTTTGTACTTACGTTTGGAAAATAGTCCTGGGTACGACCACTGACCTACGATATTTTTAAGTGTTTTAGTAGTTGAATTGTATAATTTTCTTTTTGTTCGCATCATTTAGTCTAAATTTAAGCTGTTTTATCTATAGCTGGTTGTTACATCATCCCCCACCTGTATGTGAGGGTGGACTGGCTTTTGCTTTTCAATTTTAGATTTGTTTAATCGTTCTAATTTCCCTTAAAAATCGACATTTGGTTTCCTCTAGACACGTCTCTTTATACATTCTTTCAATGAGAACCGACCCGGTGGTACTGTTGCATGTTTTGCTTTTTCCTTTTATTTCCTCCATCATTTGAGGATTTTTATTTTCATTTTTTTCTGACCTATGTTTCTCTTCTTGCTTGCATTAGAAATTCATTTAAACGGAAATAGTTTAAAGGCATCATAACATAATTTTAGAGTTTCACTATTTTGTTCTTTCCTTTCATTCGTTTTTTCTTTTTTCTCAAATTGAAATATGTTTCTCCGGTTCTATTATTTCGTTGTTGTATTACTATTATGATTGTTTTTTTTTTTTTTTTTTTTTTATTAGTATTTGTGAGTTTGTTAAAAAGTTTTCATCTCCTACTGTTTCTTTTTTAAGTATTTTTATGTAAATAAATATGTATTTTAATATTGTAATTATATACGATTAAGTATCCTACTGCAACATATAGTGGCGCTAGTAGTAGAAGTAGTAGTCGTAGTACAATTAATCTCACACAGCGTGTTTACTCTGCTTTTCATCCGTTAATAAAAAAACAACAAAACAAAAACAAAAAAAAAAAAAATGAAGAGCGGAATCTTGTTTTTTCTTTCAATCATGATCGTCGTACTCCTGCTCCAAACTCTATTGTACATGTTATTATGTTGTATCCTTTCATGCCGTGCTGTATATTTTTCCACATACTTTTTGTGATACCTAGCGTATACATTATAGTACACTGTACTCTATTGTCTTTTACTCTTTTAGTTGACGCTTGATATTTGTGTTGCGTTTTCGTAATTTGAGTTTCAAATCCAAGTGAAATGGAATATTTTAAACTTCCTCGTGTATTAATTGAACTTTGTTCTGAAAAGAAGATCATTTTCCTGTGCTTCATTTTATATTTATATATTTTTTAAATGCTACATACTTTCCAAATTTCATTTTTTGATTACTATTCCCTTAAAAAATTTCACGAAAATGAAGTGAAAGAAAAATTGGAAGGGAATATGATATAGACTTCGTATTTTTATCCCCATTTTGTTTTTCTTTTCTTTTTTTTTCTTTTTTTGTTTTATGTTATAATACCAGTCTTTAAAGTTTATCAAGATTTGAAACTGCAAATAAAGAGAAATTGAATTGATGAGTTTTATTAAACATTTTGTAGCACACTTCCTCTTTGCTTTTTTGTTATATCTTTGACAACTCTCCCTGCTTACTTGTTTGGACTTTGCTTTTCCCTTATTTTCTCTCTTTTTCCTTTTTTTTTTTAAAAAAAATTTTCGTGTTAGAAGAGTGCTTTTCAAATTGAGCTTAAATTCTTATCAAATTCTCTTTCAAATATTTTTGAATACCTATGTGATACTTAGTCTCCTATCCTATCCTATCAGTTTAATCGGTTTAATAGAAAAGGAAAATTTTCTTATCTCTTCTTTCTCTTATCCTATTTAATTACTTTTGCACATTTAATTTGTACAATACGGCTTTTATTCTCCTGTGAAAAACAAATACATGTTTGGAGAAAAAAGTTTTGCTGTCAAATGCGGCGATTAATGTATCAAATGGAATGATTTAAAAGAAAGAAAAGTTCCGATTATTATTAATGATTAGTTTCTTCGATTCAACCATTTCTATTAACACTTCCGGTTTGTTCTACATGTTACTTAACACTCTCATCAGAACACATCGTCATCACATGTATCAGATATTACTAACATTTAAGGTAAACAAAAGGAAAAAAAAGCTCTAGTTATATATGTGTGTTACCAATATATGTATATTTCTTTTTTTTTTTTTTCAATTTCTCTGATTACAATTTGTTTGTTTTTGTTTATTCCTTACTTTTTCTCCTCTCTCTCCTCATCCAATAATAAAACTCCCACGTTTTTTACATCCTTATTCTTTCTTCCTTTAATACTTCAATATATAAAAGTTTTGTGCTTTATTTTCTCCTGAAATTAACTTGATGGATAGATATCGATATGACTTACTATAATTGCATCATAAGAACTTAATAAATGCAATCTTCATTTTCTCGTTTTACTTTTCTTCTTCTGACAAATTCTCAACTATCATTTTCTTTACAGTTTCATAAACTAACTTTTTTACTGTAAATTTCTTCCTTTCATTTATCGTTTCGGTTTCTCATCGAACGATTAATTACATTGTTACGATTTCAAAAATGATCGTAATGTGCGTGTGTTGCGATAAAACGTCTGAATCAAGAATAGATTACCGATATGTGAAAAGGTCTTATTCATCAAATATTTTTATTTTTCCAGGATTTTCTTTTTCTTTTTTTTTTTTTTGGAGAAAGAACAAGAAAGGAAAGATTTGCAAGAATTTTATTTGCCCTTGTTGTCGCTTTAAAAAAATTGAATATGTAAAATATAAATTCTATAAAATTGAATATATAAAAGAGTTTTTCTTTTTTTTCTTCATCTTCTTGCTTCTGATCTTAAATTTTCTAAAATTTTTTCGAGAGAGTTAAAATTGTTCCAAAAAATATGCTTTTTTTTTGTGATTGATGCAGATATGTTAACTTTAATCAAAATTTTATTTTTACAAATCTTTCCCTTTCCCAAGCAAGTATAAGCAGTTTTTATCGATTCGCATTCGATCGTTTATCATACATCCAATCACCTTACTATGCTTTTTCATTGTCCATTTCTCTCTATTATTCAAATAAATGATAAGAACGAAGTTTGTCAAGAAATGAAATCAAGAATTTTTCATTCTAGTTTTCTTCTCTTTTTTCTTCTGCTGTATATGGAGAGAGATTTGGACGAAATTTCTTACTTTGTTGTGCTATTCATTTTTTGCTGTGTTCCATTTTATCTTAATTCAGTTGTTTATTGTTGCATAAGTTGTTTTTTTTTTTTTTTTCTACTCTCTTTTTATGAAAGAATTCAAGAATTATTCAGTTTCATTTAAAATTTGAAACGAGCAGAGCTTTTTTCCTCTTTTTTTTTTGCTTCATTTTTTCTCATTATCCTTTCATCTCCTTCTCACTTTAGAAGTCAAACAGACAGAAGTAGGAGTAATAACTTCTTTATATTCATTATTTTCTAATTTTTCGAATTAATAACGTTTCTAGCATATTATTTCTAATCATTTACAGATTTTACTCAAAAAAAAGCCTACGATGTTTTCTCTTTTTTTTTTGACTTTGCATTCAGTGATATATAGAATATACTTCGTCGTCGATAATTTAGTCCAAGCAAAAGCATTTCTTTTTTTTTTTGTGGTAATTTCTTCTTTTTCAGTACTTTTTTTGAGATGAATAGGAATGACATGCGACAGCTGTTGAATTATTTTTGAATTATGAGGAGATATTAATGATAATTGCTTATCTTTAGAAAGAGAAAATCGAGAAATGTTGCAGCTGATATCTTTATTTCTTTTAATCTTCCTTCCTCCTTTTTGTTTCGAAAACAGATTATAATAAATACATGCCTATATATTATTTCATTTTTTTTCCTAAAAAAATTGCTTTTTTTGTTTTCCGCCATCCTTTTTCCTTCATCCATTTCTATTATCAAAATCTTCCAAAACTTGATTTTTTTCTTGCTCCCTTTTTTTTCTTATCAAAATTCACGATATTATGAGCGGCTTACTTGTGTAAATGACATGCTGTTAATTAGTAAAATGCTTTCTTTTTTTCGTTTTGTTTTGATGAAATGATGAAGTCATTAATGAGAGAAAAAAGGAAGATAAACTATCAGTTCTTTTCTTTCCTTATCAATTATCGCCTCATTATCAACTTCTTTATGTCTTAATTATCATTATTATCATCTGGTTAATAAATAATATTACCCTACTGTTTAGTCCTTCCCACAATTATCAGTCCTTTTCTCCTCCAAATATTATACTATATATATATGTATATGTCTCCTTTTTCGCATGTCTTTCAACCATCATCTCGGTCTTGTAAATATGATACAAATGCATTACACGCACATATACACACAACTACACGTACACGTATACACACACACACAGATATACTAACTAATCTTACAGCTTATGCGAGTATATTGTTGTTGTTATTACTACCGAAGGAAGTTAGCATATGTATAGCAAATTCTTTTTGTTTTGTTTGTTTGTTTTTTTTTTTTTTTTTTTGTTTTCCATTCTGTATAGAAGATGAAATTTGTTATACTGTGTGTGATAGTAAATTGATTAAGGAATGGTAGAGGTGTGAAATTTGACAGACATTTGCTTTTTATTTCTGTTTCAAGGAGATAAATCATTTTTCCTCATACTGTGTGATATTTGAAATCTCAAATCACGTAAAAATAAAACGATGAAAAAAAGTGTCAGTGTTTTCTAATATTATCTAGAGATTTAAATCAGTAAATGATGAATCAGATATGCATATTAATAATGTCTGACTTCATAATAATCTAATAATATTGACAGGAAAATTGAAAATGGAGGGTTTTTTTGCTGTAAAATTAATTTTGATTGGAAATTACTATAAGAATGTGGTTAGTGTCCAAATGTCTGGTCTAATCCAAGGTATATGATATATTATAATATCATATAATATTACATTACTATTCTAAACAGTGTAGTTTTTATATAATGTGATCCATAGATGAATTTTACTTTTTTCCTCTCGTTTTTAGTTTTTCCTTTTTTTTTTTTGTATACGTCCATGTAGTTTCGTATCTTATCCACTCTGCTCTCTTTGTAATATTTTTGCAAAAGTAAAAAATTTGTCAAAAAAGTTGAATGCTGTTTTTTACCTTTTATTGTTCTCAATACATTCAACATGATATATATATCGCATAAATTCGATTTATTTTTGCAAGAAAAAAGGAAAAATGGGAACAGAATTTAATATATGTTTTCCGATAGTTTGATGAAGAAAGTCTTAATTAAACGAAATAGGTCAAACTGATGTTTACGTGGCCATCCTGAATCAAATGATACGATTGATATGTAGGAAGTAAGTAGTACAAAAACTATGTATCACAAAGGTTGGAAGATGCTTAAAATTAGACGATTCTATTTCAGATATATCAAAGTGTCAAACTAACTACGCAATGCTAGTAAAATTTAGTGGACATTTACTTCAATAATTCATTTTCCTATTCGTTCAATCAATTCAACAGATTGTCTATTGTTGAGCGACTAAGCAACAGGGTTATTTCAAAAATCATTTACAAGGTTCGATGAAGAACTTATGAAGACAGATAGGAATTATTTATTGGTAAAATTTAAAATGAATGTTCCGCTCTTCATTCATTGCCTTGCTTTTTGCTCTGTACTCTACAGAAAAACAAGTCAGGAGATTAAATTATTTCCTACCAGAAAGTTATCTCAAAACCTGAAAAGCATAATCGAAATTGATGATATCAGGAATTCACTGTATAACGATCAGTTATTTCAAATTACTTAAAATCTTTTTGGATTAAGGAAAATTTTTACGCTGAACTTTGAAACTAATGTAGTAAAATACTAGTGAATATGTGAAGTTATTATGATCAAAGGTCATGGTATTATTGATATTACGCTCGGAAATTAGATATTGTAATCATTTTCACTGCAGTCATAATCATTTTATCATTGCAGTCCTCATAATTATTATACAAACTGATAAGGTATTCAAACCTATAATAATTGATTGTTTGTCGATGTCTACTAACTGTTGTCAGTATTCTCATTTATCATCGATAACTGGACAAATAAAAGGTACCAAAGTGATGAATTAAAAATATATCAGTACATAAAACAAATTATTTTCATTACAGTACGACACTTTCCGGTATGAATTGATCATAACATAAGGAGCATTGTATAATAGCACCTGTAGCAACAGCGGTCGCTATGATAACAATTGTGGCAGTTGCTGATAAACCGATCGTTAATGCTACTGCTTTACTGTGTTTGATGATCTGAAGGAAAGCAAATACAACGTATTCTTGTATTATCTCTTTTTGTTGCAAAATAAAACTTTTGCAAATATTCCAACCGAAATATAGATTCTTTTGTTCTTTTATTATTTACTACTACTATTATTATTTATTATTACTATTTATTTATTATTATTTATTATCACTATTTTAATAATTATACTCAATTGTAGTATTATATGTTCGCATAGTTTTAGGGTAATGATTTCTAATTTTTATTTTGAATTTCAACTACATTCCCCAATTTAAAATTCTTGTCTTTTCTGGATGACGTTGAAAATTTGAAAAAATGATTTTTCAATTCAAATTTCATTTCATTTGTTCTTTTTTTATTTTATTTTTTGGTTCTCATCATACAATTCCGATTATATCACGAGCATATTCAAGAAAATTAATTGATAATGTTTGCTAATAGAACTATTTTTCTTTTTCAGTCAACTCCCAACAATTATTCTAAATTTCCCTGTTACTTTATATCACTTTACTTTCAGTGATATCTGTAAATACAATATGATACATGCTACCATATCAGCCATGAATTCATCGTAACGCTGATGTCTGATACTTCTTTTGTCGATGCTTCGAAAAATTTCTCTTTTCCTATAAAAAAACCCTTTCAGTCTCAATAATATTAGCAATATGTCAACTATTTTGTCATCCGTCTCATTCTTTTTCTTTTCATATTAATTTGGGTGTATGGGAGGGTAACAGGTAAGAAAAGAGTAAAAAAAGAAAAGCAAATCACCGGGAATCTTTCCTTCTTATTTCTCTATAATCGTATGCATTTGCAGTGTTTGCATTAGGATTGCCATGAAATGCCAAGGTATTTACTTAAAATTGATTAATTTGTTAAAAAAATTAAAAAAAAAATTCAAAATTAATTATTTACTCTTTTCTTTTTTTTTCGGAAATAGTAAATGTAAATAGATGTAAGTATACTTTGGATAATATAATTTTGAATACAATTCTTTCAGTCGTTTTTTTTCTTCTTTCTTTCTTTTTTTTTTTTTTTTTTTTGATATTTTTAAAATTTTTCTAGTCGAGGAGAAAAAACGAAATTCTTTGCTTAATTTTATATCGTGTTCACTTTATTCTAACTCACTTATATTTGTAATGGTTTAGTAGCAAATCGATCAAACTATAACAATAATCATTTGAGTTTAAGACTGAAAATATTTAGATTCTGCGTTGAAAATAAATTCTAGATTAATAGTAATGAAATTCTAGTTCAAAATAATTAAGTTCGATGTTTTAAATGATCAAATTGTAGGTTGAAAGTAATGAAATTACAGTTTTAAAATAGTTGATTGAAAGTAATTAAAAATAGATTATAATTAATCGGATTTAATTTAATAAAATGTGAAAATGAAGCAGTCAGAATTATTGTAAAAAGTTGAAAGAAAGATACGAAGAAATTAATACTAACAAGTGATACTGAAAATTGTCACAAGAATAAAATAATTTTACCTTCAACATATTTTATGGAAACACAATTAGCAATTACAGTAAAATACCACACTAAACCGACTTTCATCGTTTCAAAAAAAACTAATGAATAATCTTTAATCATCATGTATCATTTATAATGCTTTTCTTTCGTCTTGATAAGTTGAAAAAAAAAAGAAAAAACTGAACAAATTTTGCGTATAGCTGATTAAATTTTGAAAAGTTCCTAAAATAATAGCATCAATTTAATCGTTTAATGCGTAAATGCTTCATAAAATTCTCAATTTTCTTGTAAATATTTTTTTCTGTTTGCTACTAAATGCTTTTTGCTTTTTAGTTATCATTATTTTCTCGTTGATTTATCCTTTGCATTCATTAATTCCCATTTAGATTGCTTATAATTTAAAAAAAAATTAATAAAAATTTTACAAATTTATACTAATTAAAATGTTATTCCCAAATTGACCTCCGTAAATGTCTTCTGAGATTCAGTTTTTCAAGAAAATTTTAACATTTTAAAATTTCAAAATAATATTTCAAAATTCTTCGATGTAGCTTACATACTTACATGAATGAATAAATGATTTATTGATCCAAAAAGGTAATAGTAACTGTCCATTTGACAGCAAATAAAATATTCAATAGAGCGTTATAGGAAATGAATGAAAAGGAGAAAAGTGATACATCTGTCACCAGTGTTTGTCCTTGATGACATATTGCGTCATTTACGCTTATTTGTCCTTTTCCTCTTTTTCCCGCATAGTGTTTACTTCTCTTTCTTGTCTTCCATCACTTTTTCTCCGTCTCTCCTTCACCTTTTTGCGCCACTATTAGCCATATGAAGAAAGAACAAAGCTTTTATCTCCTATTTTCAAATCTACAGTTTGATATGTTTGCAGAGTTTCGAGACTGTAATCATAAATTTTGATCATTTCACAAAGTATCAAATTCATTTAAAAGTGGGTTAGATTTCCTTCTTTGTTTCCTAATTTTTCTTAAAATTTCTTATATTTCTGATATTTACTCATTACATTGTTCTGTTCCCTTATGCATTCTTCCTCCCCATTTTTTTCTTTTTTAAATATTATTTTAATTACTAAATTACAATGACAACTACTTTGTAGTTGTAAATGTTTCAGTTGTTTTGAATGAATTATTTTAATAATTAAAATTTTAATAATTAAAAAAAAAAAAATTTTAATAAATTTTACACCATTTCGTTGCTTTGTATGTATCGATGTTTTGTAGAAATAATTTCAATCGCTTTTGCAATTTTTCTACAACAACATAAAACATAATTTCATCATTTCTCTCATTAATTAAATTACATTCACAACATTCACACTTCTATTTAATTGTTCTTGTTTTTCCAAATGATGGAAATAGTATTCGTATTCGACTTAATTTACGCTTCAATTTCATAACATTCTCAACAAAAAAAAAAAAAAAATTAACGAATCAAAATTTCTTTCTTCAATTTTTTTCAAAAAAAATTTAATATAGAAATGTTAAAAAATGTATTTTGATAAAATTTAAATGTTATTTCTTCAAGAAAAAAAAGGAAGTTTCAGTTAATTAATTTTTCTTTTCTAGCACAGCAATGTCATTTACAATGGGAAATGAAACATTTATTGTAACTTCTAAATTATTTATGGAAAATCGATTACGTCTAGTGGAAATGTTAAAAAGTAAAGTTCAACCTGGAAGTGTTGTATTACTAAAAGGTGGCATTGAACAAAATCGTTATAACACAGATGCGGTGGATCTTCCATTTCGACAAGTTGATTTTTTCATTTTTCTCTTTAATACTAAAAACTTTTCCTACGCCATTTTTTTTCATGTGGAAAATTTTTCCTACATCGTTTTTTTAGTGCTAAAATTCTTCATCGCATCATTTTTTTACGATATTATTTTACAATTGTTTATCATAAAATACCACTTCTAGATTGGTCAATGCTATCAAAGGTGCTTACTGCTAATTAATTACTGTTCAACTCTCTTTCTTTCCTATACAATCTTTGATTCTTTTTTTTAAGGAATCATATTTCTTTTGGACTTTTGGAGTTCATGAAAGCAATTGTTTTGGTGCAATCGATATTGATTCCGGAAAATCATTCCTTTTTCCACCACGACTACATCCGGATTTTGCTATCTGGCATGGAAAGTAACTTTTTTTCCTTTTTTTTATAAATTATTGGTGAATTATGCTGTATATATTTCTATAATATTATACGCATCTATTTGAAACTTCAAGAATGGAAAGTGATAGTGCAATTGTTAATCAAAGAACATAAATTACTAATTATTGAAATATTTATGTTATTAAAATGTAAAGATTTAAAGGTTTAGTATTATTAGCTTCATTATTGTAGTGATTACTAGTAAATAATCAGTAATTTATTATTAGATAATTTTAAAGCAAATTTCATGCTTTATTGATTTACTTCTGAGTTTTTTTTATCTTTTTCTTAATTATAGAAATTTATTATTATAAAAAATTAAAAACAGCTATTATTTTTTTTTTTTTCAAAATTTGAAATAATCACATCTTTCCAGCATCAATAATGAAGAATGGTATCAGAAGAAATATGAGGTTGACGAAGTACATTTCAATGATCAAAATATTATTATTGAAACATTAACAAATTTACATGCAAAGCATATACTGTTGTTGGTATGATTTTTCTTTTCATCTTCCAATCATTTACTGATAAATAACTCTGTTAGAATAAGTTTGACTGGTTGGAATGACAAAAACTATATTAGATTTAACTAATTATAATGATAAGAAGCGTAATGATATGTATGACTGATCATTTAACTGCATGGTATAATTTCTTTTAATCTATTATTAATATATCAGCGCTATGAACAAATTTTGTTGTATTAATTTTTAATAAAAATTTTTTTTGAGAAAGCTAATAATTCGGATAGCAATGAAATATTGGAACCACCAACTATTGATGGATTAAATAAGTAGAAATTTTATGTCTTACTTTCTTTTTCTGTTTACAATAAATAAGAATACTGTTATAAACATGACATAAAAATAATTCCGATGAAAGAAAAAGGGAAAAAAATTCAGAATTATATAACTGTAGAAAGAATTGTATTAAGTTAAGCTGTTATGTTATCAATCAATAATTGATTCAGACTATTCATGACGAATAATTTTTGATAAGATTTGATATTATCAATAATATGGGGAAGATTATTAAATGAAGATTTTTCTTTTTTCTCTCTTCTTTATTAAGCATACTAAAGAGGTGAACATTTGTATTTTAGTTTACCTTTTGATACAGCGATATTGTATCCGATTATGGCTGAACTTCGTATTTTCAAAACTGATTATGAACTTGATGTAATGCGTTATGTTTGTAAGGTGTTTTTCATTTTATATTAATTCTCTTTTCCCCTTTTTTTTAAATACCCCACTCTTTAAGAATGAAAATTGTGTAAATTTCACTAAATAATATTTCAAAATATGATGAAAATTACATTAGTAAGAAAGAAAAAGTTGTATATTATTGTAATTAATAATATTATAATTAGCAGATTTATTATATCAAGAAAAGAAAATGATTGCTACATTAGTAAATAAGAATTTAACAAAAAAAAAAAAGGCTACTATTTTATTTAGCCCATTTGATATTACTATAAAATGTATGGTGTTGTTACATTTATTAGTATGTTTCAGCTATATATATTTTACATGCTTTTAATACATTAAAAAGAAATATACAAAATTTAAATTTCCTTTAAATAAAAATATTTCAGGTAGCATCAGAAGCACATAAAGCAGTAATGAAAGCAATAAAGCCTGGAATGTATGAATATCAATTGGAAAGGTGTAAATTTAAAACTATCCTTTTTTAAATCTGATAGACTTTTGTGCCTCCATCATGTACTGTTGTTCTTGTTCTTTTGTTTTTGTTGTTTGCTATTGTTGCTATTGTTGTTTGTTGTCATTGTGCTGCTCGTTATTGTTGTTGCTATTTGCTATTAGCATTATTGTTGTTATTATCACTATTATTATTACTATTATTATTATTATTGTTATTGTTATTAATCATTATTATTATTGTTATTGTTATTATTATTATTATTGTTACTATTAATTATTATTATTGCTGTTATTATTGTTATTACTACTATTATTTAATTATTATTAATGCTGTCTGTTGCTGCTGTCCGTTGTTAATGTTATTGCTATTTATTGTTGCTTTTTTTTTGTTATTTGTTTTTTATTTTCTCGTTGATAGAAATTACGGGCAAATTTAGATTCGATATTCTGGCGAAGAAAAAAAAATTCGCATTTAAAATTTAAAAAAATGTTTGAATGGAAAAAAAATAACTGAACTGAATGGAAACATGAAAATGACAATATCGTTGCAGCTTATTTCGACATTATTGTTATTATTATGGAGGATGTCGACATTTGGCTTACACCTGCATTGCTTCATCGTAAGTTTTGAGTTTTTAATAGTTACTTAATAGTAAGTAATTTAAAGTAAGTTCAAAATAAAATTTGATTTTTCATTTTTTTTTTTTTTTGGAGAAACTATTTTTTAATAGGAAACTATGTCAATATTTTTTTCTTTTTTTTTGCGATAAATTCAACATTGAAAGCTTTTGTTTAAACTTTGATTCTGTAAATTTCTTCAAGTTTACTCTAAGAGATCTTGTTACATTTAGTGGCTGCAATAGTGCGATCCTACATTATGGTCATGAAAATGCACCAAATACCAAGAAAATTATCGATGGTGACTTATGCTTATTCGATATGGGTCCCGAATATAACTGTTATGGTTTGTTATTAATTCTTCATCCTCATGTGTTTCAAATATAGCAAATTACCTTTGATCCTTAACTTTGAATATATTTCAAAAACAAAAAAATCACCATTTTTTCTTGTTTATTATGATATCTTCTTTCTTTTTTCACATTGAAAAAGAGAAAAAAAAAATGCCCTAATTAATACAAACCATATTTCTTCTTTTTTGTGTATTTTTTTTATTTTAGTTTTACTGTTTTATTTTTTGTTAGCATCAGACATTACAACAACATTTCCGTGCAATGGTAAATTTACGGAAAAACAAAAATTGATTTATAACGCTGTCTTAGCTGCAAACATAGAGGTATTTCAAGCTGCTAAACCAGGCAAGCTTCTTTGCTTACTACTTATTTTCTCGTTTAACATTGATTACTTGAGAAATTAGTTAATCTTATCGCAATTACTTGAATAATAAATTCGTAAGTTAATTAATTATTAATTAATAGATCGTTAATTACCACACATTAAGAAATGAATTAGTATTAATTAGCTAATCAGTCTTTCATTATTATTTATTTATTATTCGAATTATTGATATTACCATTTCTTCAATGCATAGTCAACTGATTCATTTCTTTTCTTATTTGTCTTAGTTCTTCATATTTAATTTAAAGTTTTAATATCTTTCATTCTTAATATTTGGGCTTTTTTTTTCAATTTTTGATTAGTTTAACCTTAACGTCGAATCTAATTTCAACTGAACATTACAGCAACTGTAATACAATTCTCCAAAATATTCCAAAATGTGACCATGTAATTTAAGATTGGATTATGTTTAAGTTATTTGAGAAATCTCAAAGATCTAATAGATACATTATTCCTAACGTAATACTGATCATAATAATTATTCTCTAAATTTTACTTTATCTAGAAAATTTTTTTAGATTTAAGTTACTTCGTTTTGAAAAATTCTGAAAAGTAACTTTTATTTTTATTTATTTTTTTATTACTTGTTTATATATATATATATATTTTTTTGGAATTCAATTATTTTTGTATTTTACTCTTCGTGTATTCAATTAAATTATAAAATCGATATATGGGGAACAGAAAAGAAATTATATTTGGTCAAAAGACATTATATCTGGTTTACTTATATGAAATATAAATTTCATTTCTAGCCTTTTTTAGACAATTTTTTTCTTTTTTTAAAGAATTTTTTTTTTTTTTTTTGTAGGATTACGATGGAGTCAAATGCATATATTAGCGGAACGAATTATACTGTCACATTTGAAAGATGCGGGAATATTGTGCGGTGATTTAGATGAGATGATAGAGGCACGAATTGGCGCAATATTTATGCCTCATGGACTAGGACATTTCATGGGACTTGATGTGCATGATTGTGGTGGTTATCTTGGTGTTAGTCATCACTTATCTTCTAATATTTTCTTATCTATTCAAGAAAACGAATTTTTTTAATATGAAATTTTTAACTAATAAATTAATATATGTATAAGACGTATACAAATATGTACATATAAAGGATTTAAGTTTTTTTTAACAAATTTTTTTTAACTAAGATTAATATATATATAAAGTATACAAATATGTAAATGTAAACAAATGTATCATAAGCATTAATATTAACAGACTAAAATATAATTTAATATTAATTTATGAGGGAAAATGGTTGTCATTTTTGTTTTTCCGGAGTCATTTCTTTTATTTTCGAATTTCTAAAATTACAAATTAATTGTTTTCATTTTGTGGAAATTTCAAATTTCCAAAATCATTTTTTTTTTTTATTATTATTATCAAAATAATAGAGATTGCTCTTGCTGTTCTAGAGAGAAAGGAATTAAGGTATCATAACATATTTCAGATTTTACAATTATAATTTACCAAGAAATTTGATTTTAAAAATGGGAAGGAAATTCTTTTTCTTCCTTACATTCTTTTGTGGTTATCATATATACTTTGGATTTCAATGGACTTTTTAAAACTTTTTGTCTTATTTTTAGTTTTTAATCGAAATAAAAATGCAGGCGTAAAATAATTTTCAGGATGCTGAACCTCGATCGACATTACCAGGTCTTAAGGCTTTACGTACAACACGTACCTTACGTGAAAGAATGGTAATAACCATTGAGCCAGGATGTTATTTTATTGATACGGTATCTTTTAATATAAATTTAATTTTTCAAGCAGATAAAAATTAATTAATTATTCTTTCTTCTGTTTACTTCTCATTTACTGTAATTTACTTTTAACCAATCTTATTTGTTTTTCTTTTCCTTCTTTCCTTTTTCAAATAATGTTATTTTACTTGTGATGAACTATTGATTATATTTTTTTAAAAATATTTCTTAAATTTCAGTTATTAGATGCTGCACTTAATGATTCAGTACAAAGCAAATTCATTATCAAAGAAAAGTTAAATGAATTCAGAGGTTTTGGTGGAGTAAGCGTTTTCTTTTTTTTTTTTCTTCTCTTTTTTGCTTCACCTAGATTAGTTTATTCTCTATCAAAAAAAGCTAAATAAGCATAATTTATCCCCTAAACAAATATAATGCAAATGAAAAAGAAGCTTTCTTTCTAATCATTAAGTTTTCTAGCAGAAACATTGTTTATAAAAATTATGAAGTTTTTATGCATGAATTTTTTTCTTAAATGAACTGTTCAACTGTTACTTTTACTTTAGTCCAACTATTAGAGTCGTAAGACTGAATGATAAGTACTAGCTATCAGTTAAATTATTTGAAATTATTTATTAATTATTTTAATTAAGGTACGAATTGAAGATGATATAGTAATTTGGTTGCATGGCAATGAACGTATGAGCAATGTACCGCGAACTGTGGATGAAATTGAACAATTTATGTACGAAAAAGAAATGAAAAATTAATTGATTAAATCACTTCAAATCTTACTCCAAAAGCCTGAACTGATCTGAATGATGAAAAAATTAGCCAATTCAATGGCAGTATTTAAATGTTACGTAAAAATTGCTAGCATAAAGTATCACAGTAAAATTGTTGACAATTGAAAAGAAAAAATGTTACATCAATCTTTATGGCATATTTTATGAAGATTTTAATTTTGCCATATTGAAAATAACGAAAAAAACTTTCCATTGAAATGATCAAGGTTTGGAAAACAAGAAAGCATAATAAAATTACAGAAATAATTAAGAAGAAAATGTTATCTCTTATAGCAATTGAAATGTTGAGACGATCATCAGATTTATTTATTGTCACATCCTGTTGAATGTTTTATTAATTTGTGCAGTTTGCTTTTTATCATTCAATAATATCTTTTATTACTTGTGCAATACTGTCACTATCAATTTATCAATCATAGATTCAATTAATCCCCACTTTATTAATTAAGTTATCATTGTTATAAAATTTTATCATTCCCAACAAACTAAAATTAAATTAATGTTACCACTGCTTTAAAGCTATTGTTGTTATTTTTAAAATTTTGTGATATTTTTCAATCCATTAATGCTTATATTGCTTAATTGTTTTAGTTATTTTATAATTTTATTGGAAATTCTGTTATAACTTGATTCTATTTGTTATCTTTTATTCGTTTTTTATCTTTCCATATAAGAATGATTATTGTTTCTTCTTTATTTCGCTATCATATAAAGTAACTATAAATTATTGTCATCGCAATAGCTATTGCTACAAAGATAAGAGAAGAAAGACACGAAGTAATCGTGAATTATTGTCACCAATAACTATTGCAAATTGCTGAGGAAAAAGATGTCATTATAGTAAGTAAGAAGCATATGCAAGAGTAATTCACTCAAATTATTTATCATATCTGTGCTGAATAATCATAATTATTCCGGATAAAAAAAAAAAAAACAGGACATAATCCGTCTGATGTTTTCATTGCTAATTTTTCACTTTATCTGGCTTTAGAATTTGTTCATTTGAAAAATTTAAGTAATTGCAAAAATATTATCACAGTGTCATTTAATGATGATCTCTACTTTAATTTCAATTTCTCATCTATGTTTACGGATGTGAAATATTCTCCCAGTGATTCCTCTTTCCTTTCTTCGCCATATATTTTGCAAAACAAGTGCAATTAATCTTCCAAAATGATTGTAACGATCCCAATAGAAACAAATTATGAGATAATGGGCGGATATATTTCTCGTTCCATTTTCTGATGACAATTATTGTTACCTGAAGCGTTCATCTTTCGAATTATTATCAACAATATCATCGAATTTCAGCTATCAATTACATTATCCAAAAAAAAAAAAAAAAAACTAAAATACGATGATTTTGATAAGATTTTTATCACTTGCTATTTATTTGTTTACTTTTTTACTTATATATTTGTTTACTTATGATGCATTTATCAGTCGGTGCAATAATTATTGGAAAATTATGATGCCAATTTAGATGGAAAAAATATATTATAGGATGATATTATATGAATTATAGGAAAGACAAAAATATTATAAGAAAAATCGTTAAAAAAAATATTATGGGAAAAAAAATAATATTATAGGATTTCATATTTATTAATAATCTTTGGAATCATCTTTTATTTCCATTTCACTTTTTCTTAGTTTTATAATTTAGATAATTAATGGGTAAAATTATCCAGCAAATGGGAAAAGAAAATAGAGTCGAAAAATGAAAATCAATTCTTTTTTAAAAATCTAAATTAAAAGAAACAACGAAAATTATTAAGAAGCACGTGACAGTTATTTATTTATGATGTTTCTTTTAAACATTTCCATGCTGAATCGAACTTACTTTCTAAGTAGTTTCATTTCTTTGTTAACGAATGGTATTGCAGTTAATGTTAAAAGCAAAATGGATGGGTAATTAGATGTTGATAATAATGATGATAGTGATGATAATAATGATGATAATGATGATAATAATGGTGATAATGATGATAATAATGGTGATAGTGATGATAATAATGATGATAATGATGATGTATTATTATACTGTGGAAAAAAATTTAATATAGAAATAATAACAAAATTTATTACAACGTAGTGCTAAGCTCAATGAAAGATAATATTTCAAATTTTTGAAAAAAATGTGTGAAAAAAAACTTTTCTTCAAATATTATCTAATGTTCAAAACAATTTTATTGTTGATAAAGTTCCAATTAAAAAAAAAAAATTTTGTCTTAATTTTTTTTTTCATAATTCTAATTAATTTCCCTTCCATATAGTTCTAAATAATTTCATTGTTGAGTCTAGTAGGAGATTTTTAGCTAAGTTTTATCATATAATTTATCTATAAAAACCGAAAATGAAAACGGTAATAGAATTTTGATTGATTGTTTTAATTTTGAACAATGGCAGGGTATGCCGATTATTACATAAATTCAATAACAAACGATAAAGATTATAATATTGATTAGCTTATTCAAATTTTACCCAAATTTTATTGAATTATTTACTCTTATATATAGAATGTTATGGAATCCCATGGTAGCTATTGCATCTTATTACTCCTACTATTTTCATACTTCCTTTATTATCATTAATTTGAAATTTCATAAGAATTAAGATGTACTGTAGTATAAATATCTCTCATGGGACATTTCCCAATAAATAATTTCAATAAAACCCCTCCCCATAAGTTGCTACATCTATCTAAATTTTACTCAGCTATACTGATTCAAACGTTAGCACATTGGCTTAACTTCCAATTTCTAAAATAAAATAAATGGTAATTAGGCGTGTCGAAAAAGTAAGAATCTTTTTTTACTTGTCCAACTATTAATTATGAAAACGGAAAGCATATTGAAAACCGCACTTTTCTTTTTTTTTTTTGTAATCCGATATTGATTTGAATATTAATTTTCATTTCAAATCCAAAATTTTTAGTCATCCTTTCAGTCTTAGGATTATTTTTTTCTATCATTAAAATCTTGAATAATTAATATTCAGGTTGAATACTATAGTGATTAATTATTCACTAGATGTTTTAAAATTACGTTTATTTGTGTTAATTTCATTATCAAAATTATTCATCCAGGCAGTAGTAACAAATCAAATTCATAACTTATACCACTTGGAAATTTGGAATTTTGAACTGATGTCTGATTTAATAAAATTTGTGAAAAGTAAGTTTCTTCGCGCTAAATAAAATTAGTGTTCTCAAATTATAGTGTGTTTACACTTATTTATTGAGTCCAATGTCTTATTTACGTTCACGTATTGAATTACAATGCTTTGTTTACTTATTATATTCACTGAACCATCTTTTCTAATTTAAAAAAAAAAAGAAAAAACTGGTTAAAAAAATAATTTGAATGTCATAATGTTATGTCATTGATTTCTCTATCTGAAAAATATATCTTGCTATCATTTTATCTGTACATCGGTAATTTTTAGTTTTGAAACATTCTTAATTATTATAAATGATGACGGTAATTAAGCGGTGATAAGAAATGATAGACACTCCATTGAAATGATTTATAACATAGATAGAGAGGTGATAAAAGGACAACATTAAGACCAAGTGTTTATCATTCAAAGCACACTCGTATAGATCATCAGTTCATCAATCAATATGTATGCTAATTATAACCAATGAATATTTTACTAATTCTTTCCCACAATATTTACAATTTCAAATTGATGAAATGATTTGCTGCTTTATTACATATTTCAAATGTATTATTTACTGGTGCATTTATAGAAAAAACATGAAGCAATTTAAAAAAAAAAGGAAAAGTTTTTACAGTGTAATTAATTGTGCCAAGAAGTCAAGAAATGACCAAAAGTCTCTTTTTTTATTGAAATTGTTCATTGTTTCACTTAAGTTTATATTTAGTATGAAACTGCATTACTAATAATTTTACTTCTAAAATTAATGATTTGATTTTCTAAATACGAATAAATGATGAAATTGTTAAAATATGAAGTAATACTTGTAAAATAATCAATTATAGTAATAAGGTCTCTGGAAACAGACAAATTACATTAAGAAAATTAATTTTGCTGTTCATATTTTATCTCCCTTTATAATATTACACTTCACTTTAATAATATTCCCATGCAATATTTTAATTATAATTTCAATTTTTCTCTCAAACTACATCAATTAAATTTTTTTTTATGATTCAAGTAATGAAATAATTTGAGAATTATTTTTCTCCAAAATGAGCTAAATGTTCAAAGAAATTTTTTTAAATTTCAACCAATCAATCATTTCTGATCGATTTGGTATAGGATAACTGCTAGGAGCAATAATAAAATAATAATGGAGAAAGTAATAGCAATATTAACAATAGTAATAATAATAATAATGCAGATAATTGTTATCACTAGTTGGGGTAGCTGTTAAGGTTAACTTATACTAAGAAGCCTTAGTAACATATGCCAGGCAATATGCGTCCCACAACTTATTTGGCTTCCTTAAACTATATTATTTTGATAACATTAAACTTTACAATCAAATCAGTTGTGAAATGCTATGTTCCTATTAACTTATTTAAATAATACTGAATTATAATAGTAAATAATTGTTATAATTTACATTATCATATCAGAAATTTATTAATTATAATTGTTGTTAACTATATTTTATAATTTATTCCATAATATCAAATGCAATAATTATAATTTACAGCTCATATTTCATCGAAATGATTATTTGTATAAAACACTTAAAATTCTTACGTAGTAATTGAATGTAAAAACTAATTTTAATCATCTTCGTCATCTTTCTTTTTATTCTTGTCCTTACACAATTGTTAATTTCAAATTAGTTCAGCTGTGCATCATTTTATGATAATATACATACTTTCTCTTTTTCTTTCTCTTTCTCTCTTTCCCTTTCTCTAGGATGTTGCAATGAAGGTCATTCATTATTGGACAATGTCATCTCATGTTTTTATTTACTGTCA